ATGATGATGATGATGATGATGATGAGCCATCAAATATGTATTTGGATTCTTACCTTTAAGATCTCATCTTCTGGTACATTGGGGAACTTCTCCATTAATGATACTCGTAGCGTCATTGCTACGTACCTTAACCCAAAACTACAAAACGAGCAATGTAAAGAACATCTGATTCAAAGTCTTACATGTGCAAAAACAGGTGAGGACAACTGCAGATACTTACGGTATTTTATCCACTGATTGAATAATTGAGTTAAGGAACTTGTCCGTGGCTGCGATAAGTGTCTTTACAGATGCACCGATTCTTTCCACTACTTCGGGGTGCTTCAGGGCTTGTTCTGGGTCCACATCGTATGGTAACTTACTAAAACATGAAATAACAATTACTTTGTGGATACTCCAACCGGGACCACTATGATAAATTAGTATCATTAACCAATCATATTGCGACATTTAGTTCAATATCTTTAACCAGCCAATCAGATAGCGCCTCGATATTACAAGAGCGTGAGAACGTGATAATCTGATTGGCAAACACTGTTTTTAGTTCAATTCCTGTCTAGTTTACTGTTATCTGATTGGTCAGTTTCATTCAGGTGGTCCTGGTTAGTGTGTCAGCACAGTAACTATATTGCTTTTATTGATGCACGCTTTACCTCATCGAACAGTGCAAATGTGCGCAGTATCTTCTACATCGATCGATTCAAATGCGCACAACTACTTTGGCGGCTCCTTTACTCTGGAGGAAACGACTTGGAATATAGGATCTTACCTAGTTTAACGGCTCCGGTACTCTGGAGGAAACGACTTGGAATATCAGATCTCACCTAGTTTGACGGCTCCAGTACTCTGGAGGAAACGACTTGGAATATCAGATCTCACCTAGTTTNCTGGAGGAAACGACTTGGAATATCAGATCTCACCTAGTTTGACGGCTCCAGTACTCTGGAGGAAACGACTTGGAATATCAGATCTCACCTAGTTTAACGGCTCCAGTACTCTGGAGGAAACGACTTGGAATATCAAATCTCACCTGGTTTGTCCTGTCTCAGTCTCCATTTGATTAATCCATGATTTATACACATCTTGTGGACTGGTATTAACATTGATGTTCTTGTCTTTGAGAATATCATTCACTAATGGCTGCAGTAGATCTCTTAGTGAACTCTGACCCCTTTGACCTCTGTGAAAACAAGAGATGTGTTAATTAAGATGTTGCGGCACTTTTACGGTCACGCCAGTCACACAACACCTGCGCTATACAGAGATTTCGTGATTTCGTATGTCTGTGAAAGACGTGACCATAAAGATGCCATGTTTGAGCGTTCTGATTGGACGCGGTATCGTCACGGTCATGGCACGGCAGTCGAAATAGATTGGTCGAAATAGATTTGTCACACAATCCTCCTTGTAAGAGCTTGAGAATATAAATATCGTACCTGTTAAAATGAACCACCATCCTTATTACCGTTGGGTTCCCTGTGATGATTTCAACCGGTTGATCTACTTTAGAACTGGGGACAAACAAAATAAAATCTTATGTCAACTGCGCGTCACTGAAGCTGTCATAATTGGTTTGTTACATATTTCAGACCACATGTCATTCCCTTGAGTATTATCTCTTTGTCTTCCGGCAACAAGACACTCATATTGACGTTCTCTCAGCGCATGGGGGTTTGAATCCTCGATTCCAGTAGTTGCTTGTTTTGTTATTCTAATTTCTGCTTTTGATTAACGACCTCAGTAGTGAGGCTAAGCCCGCATGACTAAAGTTTAAGAGTCGTCAATAGATGTGACTTATTCCAAGAGGTGTAAAATGGAAAAACATTTCGCTCAAAATAAAAGTGTCTAATGATATTTTCCCAGAACGCTTCCTGTCCCTGTACTTCTATCGGGATAATTGCTTACTATCAATCACGTGACTTTTTGGAGTAGACTGGGGGGCAAACAAGCGGTTGACTGGGGGGCAACTAGCGGGTGTTAGGTCAAAACATGGCAAAATAAGTCCTGGAAGTGACGTCTATTGATAGCAGCCTATAGCTAATGGTATAATTAAGTGACTTACCAGATTTCTTGCCGTAACGCAGTCTCGAATAGCCTAAGTAACAGATATTCTTCTCTGGTGTTGGACGCGTAGTTGTACAAGGTGAGGACCACAGACTCCATGAATTTGGTTGTTTTGCTCTGAGGCATTTCGAAGATCAGCTTGGCCAGGTATGTGGGATTTGTCTGGAAGAGAAAAGTATTATAAATAATAGTAGAAAGATAAAAATTTTCTTGGGGACGCAAGTTGATAGATACAGCGACACCTTCATAGACCCCTTGCAGCACTTCGGAATGCAGCTCAATTTGGATGGACTTTTTCGTCAACGTTTTTCTTTCGTGACTCTGTGAGAGAGATCGTGTTGCAGCAAGAATAGGTATTGACTTACAGCACGTACACGGTACATGTCGTAACACTGAAATGGCTTCCCATTGTCTTCGCGTAATTCATCCAATCACGACGCGCAGTTACGGTTACGGTAACATACGGTACGACTACGAATTTGGCGTATCAAAGTACAAAATCCGCTCCATCTTGCAAAGCACTGTAAAGGTCTTTAGTGAGACTAACCTGTAGTAAGTAGAAGAGGTTCTGATAGGCTTCAAGTTTCTCTCTGCTTTCTTTACTTAGAGACTTGATTCCTTTAGTTCTCTGTACAGCTGACATCATGTCTTGTTTCTCTCTCTTGAGCTTCTTCCCGTGATGCACCACATCCTAAAAGAAGAAGAAAGGTATGAAAATCAAGGATGGGAAAGGTGATGACTGATGGTAGTGATGATAGTGACGATGGTGGTGACTGACGATGGTGATAGTGATGATGGCGATGACTGATGATGGTGATGATGATGATAGTGATGATGATCATGATGATAGTGACGATGGTGATGATGATAGTGATGATGGCGATGACTGATGATGGTGATGATGATGATAGTGATGACGGCGATGACTGATGATGGTGATGATAATGATGGTGATGATGATAGTGTCAATAATAATGATGGTGATGATGATGGCGATAGTGATGATAATGGTGATGAGGATGCTGGTGATAGTAATACTGATAATGATGGTGATGACGGTGATCGTGATGCTGGTGATGATGTTGTTGGTAGTGATGATGCATGATGATAGTGATTATGGACAAATGATAATCACGTACCTGTAATGTAATCCTATTCTTCACTAATAATCCAATCTTGATATCCATCAGGTTAAGATCGTTCTCCAGCTGTTGATTGGATCTGATGTCTGTCACCACTTGTGCGCGAAGTTTTTGTAATTCTAAAAAAAGAGACAATCAATCTTAAAATATTAGAATAATATTAGCCATCATTTCGTTATTGGTAGGTTTTACAGAGGGAGAAAAACAGGAGAACACGGAGAAAAACCCTTCGATTCAAGGGAGAGACCTAACAAACTTTGTTCACATTTGCTGCCAGAGACCCCAGAGTTGATAGGCGAGAGGCTAGAGCACTAAGGCTACACACTGCTCATTCCCAGCGTTGTGGAAGTGTTATGATGCACTGTAACATTGCCCAATTAATTTTGTAAGATCAGTGAAATAGGTTTGTGGTACTGGGATATGTAGACCTTCTTAACGCCTCTCGCATCTCTTCGATGCCTGTCTCGTGGTCTGCCTCTGCGTACGACTTGGCACAAGCAAACAAAACGGCTTGCTTGCTCTACTGAGGTAATATACCGACCACTTACCAAGTTCTTCTTCAAAATCAGCGTCACTGTGCTGCAGCAAATGAATAAATTTTCGAACAGTTTTGACCGGAGGATCCTGCATGGATACTAAAAAAAACAAAATAGAATCAGAGTCACGCAATCACTGGTCACATATTACTAAGTCGTAAGCGAATGAGAAAACTAGAGCGTGGATGGAAGAGTCTAGTCTTACTCCAAGTCGACCTCACTTGTCTTCAGGAGTTTTTTTATTCGAAGAGTCATGCAATTGCTGTTATCGTAAGTTCTAATACTAAGTAGAGGGTGGGGATATTAATGCTACTGGAGGGGAGTGAGGCAATCTCTGGTACCGGAAGAAATAACAGCAGTGTGGATTGTTTGTAGGCGACACTTACTAAGTTTTCTGTAGTCATTCTGCGCCACATTTGCTCTCACCCAGGCTTGGATCTTGATAATAGCAGCTTGCTACAGTGAACAAGTGGAGAAAATGGTTAGTAACATGGACACAGAGGAGCACTCCCCTTTACTCACGAAAATACCTCTGACACCCAAGATGATGATGATGATTGATGATGATGCATGTTGCTAGTGGTGGTGGTGGTGGGAATGCTGATGCTGGTGATGGTGCTGATAATGGTGGGGTACTGATGCTGCTTCTGATGATGATGATGGTGATGATAACGATAATGCATGATGCTGCTGATGATGGTGGTGATGATGATGGAGAGGATGGTGGTAAAAATGAGGATGGTGATGATGCTGATAATGATGATGGTGATGCTGCTTCTGATGATGATGATGGTGATGCTTCTGCTGATGATGATGTCCGATTACGATACTGCTGCTGCTGCTGATTATGATAAGATGATGATGAAGACGGCCCACGATAGGAACAACGAGAAAACCGTCGATAAAAGTATAATACTAAGGAATTACATACGTGCTCATCGAAGTATTTCTTTCTTCCTCTGTAATGCTTTCTTGCAAGAAACATTCTGACATGTGACTGGATCTGGAAAAAAGGGATGAACAAATGGAATATGAAAGAAAGGAAAGGAGTGTGCCTTGAAACAAGCTGCCTGATTACCTTTATGACATCTTGTTCTGATGATTTCAGTTCTTTTAACCTTTTACGATACTTGGTTCGTTGTAAGAATCCTTTAATGTTGGCCTGGAACAAAGAGATGACAAACAAATTAAGTTCCCATTCCTCCTCAAAGTCGTTTTTAATTCCAAATCTCAGACTATAGCGTTATGATGCCCCCTTTGGTCCACGCCCTCGTCTGTCCCATCTCACCTGTATCTTGATGATAGCAGGTAGCTGCTCTTTGATGAAGGTCACTCTGTTCTTGTATGATTTACGGGCCAAGTATCCCTTCCAGTGAGCCTGTAGTTTGATGATGGTAGGCTCGTTCGAGGTGAGATAAACCATACGGTCATGTTCTCCTGTCTCACGTGATACTACGGTCTGAAAATAACACGAGTACATTTATTAGAATCTATTCGTATTTAAAGATACCAATAGAGGCTTTGCAGCATCACGTGCCGGCACCCATAATACAGATTGGGCTGCCGGTGGTTAGATGGCAGAAAAATAAAATCCCTTTGCTCTTGGGAATTGAATTCTTTCTCATGTAAAACGATTGCATTGTTCCTGCCATCTAACATGGCTGCCGCCACGTGATGGTGCAAAGCCTCTATTGAAAAAAAAAAGATGTATTACAAAGTCAAACAAACCTGAATCTCTTCTTTTGTTAGAAGCGAGGAATTGTCCTTGAAGTCGTCTGGTTTCGTCCAGCTTGTCTGTCCATTCTCATTGTTGTAGTAATAGACATGACCATAACTGGTTCTCTGCTCTAACCACGGTGATGTTCCTCCTGAAATAACCACAACAATGATTGTATTAATAGTTTCAGGACTTCTTTTCACAGCTCACTTCATAGTTCCTTGACATATCGTTTACGAAACATGCTAAGACGACTGTCATACATCATTCTGGCGTGACAGATTTAATTCCAACTATGACACGCTATTTTTGACATCGACAATACATAAGGAGCGTGACACAGTAGTTCAACCATTACAGTTGTCCGGCATTGTCATAACACATTGGTCACGCAATCTGTCCTGATATGTTATTTCTATATAACTAATATCACGCAATACCACGGTCACGCACATACCATTCTCCTTCTTCTTCTGTTTAGCTTCCTGTAGCGCATGTAAATATTTCTCAGTACATTCTTGCGTGACACCTCGTATTCCTACAGCAGAGTCACCCAGTGCATTACTAAAGGATTGCTGATCCCCACGGTCAATAGCCTGGTTAATAGCCACCAGTCCCTGCGCAAGTTGATGGGTTTCATCGGCATGTTTGTTAGAGTGGTCGATACACGGCTGAATCTCGTCGTGCCATAGCTCCGCGGATCTGTCATTGGTTTTCTGTGTAATAGAACAAGATACTTAGTTTGTATTGAAACGGGGTTCCTGTGTTGTGTAAAGGAGGAGAGGAGGCTAGGAAGCGTAAGAACACTGATATGGTTAAGGGCACGGCACGGTGCTCACAGAGGTGTCGATACTTGTTTTAATATCCTACGCATATCATCATTAGAAATATGTTTTTAAAAACCTTATTATATATCATCGTTTTTATCATCATTACCGTCGTCACCATCTGTGTTCATCATCGTCACCTTTCAACTCTTGTTTCATCAACGCCATCATTTTGATTCCCTTCATTTCCATCACCACTTTTTGGTCACTGTCATCACCCTCAATATTATCATTACTATCATCTAATATCATTTGCTATAATCATTACTATATATCGCCAATCATGATTTTCATCATCATAGCTAAGCTGTCATTTACTAACCTGTGCTTTGGATCTTTTGGTGGCAAACAGTACATCTTGGTAGATCTCTGCGTTGGCAGCGTCCACGCCTGACAGCTTAGCAGCAGCCGCTTGTAAAGATCGTGTGGTTTCGTCTGCGTCTCCTTTATCGATGTTTACATTAATCACCGATAACGCGGCGATCACTGAGAATTGAATGTAGGGATAAGAAATAAATGAATGGGATAATAAAAGCCAGATATAAAAATGGGAATCGGATGGAAGGATAAATGGGATAATGAAGCCAGGTCTAAAATGTGTGAATGTGGTTCTTAAAAATATTTTGGCAGATTTTTGTATGAACGTGGGAGATAATTGAACCAATGACGCGCGGACACGGCACGGTACCCCGTAGCGCTGTTTCTTCGTCTTCATATGAAAGCCTTCAATCACGTGTTTGTTCATGTTCAAATGAGTGAGTGGATGAGTGGCGATAGGCAGAAGTATTCTTGGTGCTCTGTCACGCAACGCGCATACTCGGTGTCACTCATCACACAACTCTCGCTTTATGGACAGAAGATAACAAACGACATCTACAACAACAAAATACGTGCATCTTTATTGGAAGAAGTCGTAAAACACACTGAGAAATTATACATATTCTGTTCACCCAAAGTTATTTTTAAATTGTAGAAGAGTATTCATAATGGCGTAAAAATAGGTCACAATAAAATGCACGAAATTAGACGTATATTAGTATAAGTCGTATTTACATGGATATTAACAGATTGCACAACATTACACGCATCTTTACACGCCGTTTAACGGAAAACGCCACGCGTATTTACTAGCTGTATGACAAATTTTCTTCGCGTCCATTTTGCTATAGCGGTATATGCACATTCTTCATCTTCAGTTGTTTGGTTTTATGTGCCTTGATAATAGCGTCATCTTTCTTTAAGTTCTTCTTATGATAGATTTCGAACACATCATCTCCTTTGATGGCCACCATTTCACTGTAGTTTATCCCACCATCGTTATCAACATCCAAGATGTTCACCAGCTTCTTTAGTTGTCTTCTCGTCATTGGGATCCCTGCTTTCCTTACTCCAGTCATGAATTCAGCGCGGGTAAGTTTTCTGCTGCCATCCTTGTCTAGCTGACGAAAGAAGTCCACCATGCGAAGACCACGTAGCTCAATGTACTCAAGCAGAAGGTTGAGGACATCCTAGAAATGAGACAGATGATGAAGGAATTAGGTATTGAGGTGTATATAGTGAACACGCATTCTTTTCGAGGATTTACGATCAAGGGGATGTTGGTGTTCTAGTCAATAAGGTATATTGCTGACACGCAAATAGGCAACGAGCAAGGAAGGAAAGGAGCAAACAAGCAAACAAACAGACAAGCAAACAAAACAAACAAGCAAGCAAACAGACAAGCAAACAAACAATTAACAAAATAAATGCATAGTAAAGCATTAGAATTACAGTAATACTCACCACTTTATTCTTGATCTTCTTGACACGTTCCTTGCCCTTCATAGCAGCCCCACACTGCACAATCAAATTAGGCCTTGCCTCCAGCACATCTTCTAACAGTTTCTCAAACTCCGCATTAACAGGTACATCATCAAAACATATCTCTTCTATAGCACTATCAGGATTAATATAAACAGCATTGAGAATATCCAGCGCGCCTTTACTAGTAATGGGGTTCTTTCCAACACGTAGAGTCTGTAACGTGGTATTCTTGGCCAATCCTTTAGCAAACTGCGCGGCGCCATAGACGGAGATCCTGTTACAAGAAATATCAAGTTCAACTAAAGAACTATTCTGCTGGAGAGCCTCACCGATAGCTTTCGCGCCATCGTCCGCGAACCCATTCCACGAGATGTCTAGAGTTTTTAAGCTGCAGTTTTGGGCAAGGCCATGGGCTACTGCCAACGCTCCTTTACGACGGATGTGATTCCAGCTCAAATTCAAGTACTCTAACCCGACATTAGCGTCTATTCCCGGTCCCAACAACTGCCCTCCGACCTCACAGAATTCATTCTCACTTAAGTTCAAAGCCTTGAGTGTAAAGTTTTTCTTCATGGCTTCAACTAGTGGTTCCACATCCTTTTCGATGAACTTATTTCCCGATAAGTTTATTTCGATTAACTCGGCGTTTTGTCGCAGCATTTCCGCTACGGCATACGCCCCTTGAGAGCGAAGATCATTGAACGAAATATCAAGTTCTGTGATAAAGAAATTCTCGGTCAGCATCTTCGATATGTAGATAGCTCCTTCCTCTTTGATATCGTTGTACGCTATATTAAGACTAAGGACTATGGTGTTTTGCATCATGGCAACCGCCACGGCTTCCGCTCCTCGCGTGCCCAAGTTATAGTGCTTGAGATTAACGTCAGATCTGTGGAGCTGTCTGAGGAATGTTGAACATGGTATGAGCGAAAGACTCTTGCAGGCTTTAAGATAGGCACCCCTGCCTTGACTAGTATCCTCTTCTGGCTTTCGATTTACGGGCTCTTCTTCTAGATCAGTGTCGTATTCAGCATCACTGTTTTCGAGGGCTGCCTCACGCGAAGGAATGACGGTTTCCTGTTCTTCTTCTTCTTCTTCTCCTGGTTCTTGTCTGGAATTAGTGTGAGGGATGTGTCGTATGCACCCAATCGTTAACTTTGATGAACTGGCCATTCTCAGTTATTGCTTCAAATATCAATTAACGTTTCCTGCAGGTTAAACGAATGTCGAAATCCAACAGCAATTACTAAGCGAAGAAAAGCCCTCGTGAATAAAGAATTATTGATTCTGATAAAACAGTAACGCCTGGAATTCCAGTAGACTTCCTTACAAAGCTGAATCGTTTTTTGTGCAGCACAAACGGTTCAAAATCCCGAGATATTTCTTATGCAAACGCACCTTTTCCTTTCCACTTGATTATATTAGGAGTTAATCGTTTCGTTGTGAATAACTAACGATAGAATTCATTAAGACAACACCAGATGTTCTCTGTTGACGGTACGAACTTCAAGACTGTCAGATACACTTCCTTCGTAGAGATAAGTTCGTTTTTACACTGTCAGTATAAAGAAGATCATAGGAAGCACCAGTTGAGCTCTTTGAAGCTTAATCTAAGTACAAGGCAAGGCTATGTCTAGTTAATCTAGTCAACTCAGCCAAAATTCGAAAACGAGACGAAAATCTTTAAAAAGGCGAGGAAAATTCCATAGAATTTCTCGTCCAAAACATTAAATGGAGCGACTAAATGTCAGGATTCTTTTTGTCTTTTTTTTTTGTCTTATCCTATTCTCTCTTACAGTGAAAGAGAATTCAACTTCAACGAAGGCTGACAGCTTCGATCGACTCAAAAGCTTTAATATTAGTTGCTAGGGACACAAAGAGATAGACTCTAATATTTTGCTGTTTCACCTCATAGGGATGATGACTGCTTGAACAAGAGAGCCAATGAGAAATCCCCTTTTAAGTACCTATTCAATTTATTTCATCAATAATTCAAATCCTACAGCGAGAAAAAAAGGCTTTTGGGCTCGATTAAGTTGTTTACTCGCTCGAAGAATAAATCTGAATTATCTCCATATTTTTATAGCGTGGTGTTGAGAAATTCTGATGTGAATGTAAAATACTTCCTATCACGATCAAGACAAACAAAAGATTTGCTTTATCATCGATGTACTTGAAAATTCACTCGAATTCAACAAGATCAGTAAACATAGTTGTTAACTTTAATCAACAGCATATATTTATGAGCACTTCGTAAGTTTTCTGCAATCGTTTTTTTAAGATTACGAAAATAAATAAATAAATAAACTTGCCTTGAATGTTCTAGGCACTTATATATTATATGTGTTTTGATTCTAGCACAGAAAACCCTCTGTCTTTTCACGTCGAAGCAAATGTATGCAATATCAAATGCTTTTTTCCTTCCTTAGTATTTCTGTATTTTGTGTGGGAAGAAGAAAGCTATTCGAAGGAAAATACGAGCCATAACGTCGCGAAATTAGATCGACTATAGAAAGCAACTGCTACAAAACGAAAAACGGAGTTTAGCATTTAGTTTCAAAGTTGAAAGAAAAACCGACACTTCTTTCACCTGTCCTTTCTTGACGATATGTTAATGACAGGTTTGCTAAATTGGTTCGAGTAATTTGAATACATACTAGCAGGGATAAAGAACGATTTGTTGCAGGTAAAAACATCCTTCAAGTAATACTTAAGGAATAAAGAATTCTTGTACGTTAATCCTGATAAAAGGAGGGGGAAACCCGAAAAATTCGGATGCTTTCGTTCCTTTAAAAATATTCAGAAAAAAGGAGTTTTTTCTTTATTTAGATTCCGAACGGTTTTTTCCTCCTTTTTTTAAACTAGATATACTTGAAACAAGAAACAGAGTTGGGCAATTTAGAGGAAATAAACTAATAAAAAACTAAAGAATTTGTCAAAATGGCGAATTTCTTAAGCTTAATGTGATAGGTTAGGGAGAAAAAATGGTTTTAAAATAAGAGAAAATGTTTTAAAAATGAAGCAAGGGTACTGAAAATCAAAATCAAAATTTTTCTCTAAATTCTAAGATATCTTAGGAGACTTATACTCGGTGTAAAAGGCAAAGCTACCATACATAACACGAGATTTAAAACGGGGTGCGTATGGAGGTGTCGCTCGTGCGACGAATGGTTCACATCAAAGGTCCCCCCACCCACCCCCCGGTGTAGTTTTTTTTGATCTACTTACGATCGTGTTCCTCTTGTACAACCGCGTTTACGTAATCCACGCAAATCTGCAGCTCTAATGGAGTCAGATCATCCTTTCCTATTCCACAGTCCTGGTTTGGATTGATGGGAATAAAGAAAGATGGCAACAGTAACTCAAGGTTGTCAGGTGTACTATCCCCGTCTACGGTTGTGTGCTTATTCATCTATCTTTCTTTCAATCCCTTCCTCGTTTGCATTATCTTCAATCAATCCATCCATTCATTTCTATTTCAGTTATCCTTCCACTTTTTTTACTGATCATTCGATCTCTATATTCATTCCTCATTCGTCCATCCATCCTTCCTTCCATCCATCCATCCATCCATCCAAAATTCTATTCATCCATCCATCCATCCAAAATTCCATCCATCCATCTATCAATCCATGCATTCCTCCATCTAACCCCCCTTCTATCTATCCATTGGTTCACCTATCCCTTCCTCCCGCCCTCCAATTGTTCGTCCGTCCGTCCGTCCGTCTATCCATCCTTCCATCCGTTTATCCATTTTTTCATCTATCCTTCCATCCATCCATTCATCTATTTCTTCTAAACGATTTTTTAAAAGTCGCCCTCAACCCATAGAGAAGAAAAGCCCAGACAAGCTAATGGCATTATAGCCTAACATTTTTTACCTGTGCCTTTTCGTGTTTGACCGACATAAAATGATCCAAGTATCTTCTACCCAGCGTCTCATCTACTGATGATAACTCTGAGTTAGGGTCCTCCATCGTTTTCATCAGTTCATCCGCGTTTTGCTTGTCGATGGCTGCATTAATAGCTGCTGCAGCTGTCAGAACTGTGGAGAGACAGCCACAACATGTGTCACCATGTTAAGGGTAGTGTGATGGTGATGATAATGAGAGTAACAAAGATGATGCTTATGATGATGATGGTGGTGATGATCGGATGATGAAGATGACGATAATAATGGTGGTGATGATGATAATGATGATGATGCTGGTGGTGGTGGTGACAATGTGATGATGATGGCGATAATGGTGGTGCTGATGGTGATAGCGATGATGGTGATGATGATGGTGGTGGTGGTGGTGACAATGTGATGCTGATGGCAATAATGGTGGTGCTGATGGTGATGGCGGTGATGATAATGATGATGATGATAATGGTGGTGCTGATGCTGATGGCGATAATGGTGGTGCTGATGGTGATGGCGGTGATGATGATGATGATGATGATGATAATGGTGGTGCTGATGGTGGTGATGATGATGATGATGATGATGGTGGTGGTGGTGGTGACAATTTGATGCTGATGGCAATAATGGTGGTGCTGATGGTGATGGCGGTGATGATAATGATGATGATGATAATGGTGGTGCTGATGCTGATGGCAATAATGGTGGTGCTGATGGTGATGGCGGTGATGATGATGATGATGATAATGGTGGTGCTGATGGTGGTGATGATGATGATGATGGTGGTGGTGACAATTTGATCTGATGGCAATAATGGTGGTGCTGATGGTGGCGATGATGATGATGATGATGATGACGGTGGTGGCGGTGGTGGTGGTGACAATTTGATCTGATGGCAATAATGGTGGTGCTGATGGTGGCGATGATGATGATGATGATGATGACGGTGGTGGTGGTGGTGGTGACAATTTGATGCTGATGACGATAATGGTGGTGCTGACAGTGGTGATGATATTCTTGTTGGTGTTAGTGATGATGCATTGATGTTGCTGATGACTAAGATGATGATGGTGTTGATGATGATCATGACGACAATGATAATGCTGATGGTATTATTGATGATAATTATAACGAATAGTAATGATAATATGATGGTCACAAACATGATAGCTGCATAAGTTCTACTTATAAGATATAAATCCAAAAGTTGATTTCACAGACAGACTAACTCACCCTTGATCCTATCCTCAATTTCAATATGCTCCAGATCAGCTTGTTTCTGGTTCTTTGCCTTCTTTAGCTCATAATGATAGAGATAGGCACTTCTACCAAGCACTTTAGGCAACATAGCCTCTTGTTTTTGTATCAACATGTGAGTTTCTTCAGCGTTTTCTCCATCAAGACTCTTGTTGATGGCAGATACAGTAGCTTGCACTGATTGACAAAGAGACAAGTATTTTTAGCAAGCAGTACTAGTATATATAATAAATAAATAAATAAATAAATGGGATTTAACAGTGGCATTTCTACAGAGTAGCTATTCATCCACTGTCATACTAATTGGGATTTAGGAGTTGACTTTTGCGAAGGGAGGAAAGCCGGGGAAACCGGAAAACCCTCGAAGCACAGGAGAGAGCCAACAAACAACTCTACTCACATAAGACACCGAGCTCAGCGAGACTTGAACCCAGGTCGCATTGGTGAGGGGCGAGTGCTCTCACCGCTACACCACCCGTGCTTCCCGTAGTATATATAAATCTCACAAGCTTGAATATCATATTTCATACTTTGTCGGTGTGTTTCAGCAGCTTCATTGGCTCCATTGATACTTTCTTGTATCTCACTCTGAGTCAGCTGTGCATTTGGGTCTCCAGTCGTCTACAATACAACATAAAAGTGACACTTAATTGACATCAGATATCTTTTTTTTTCATTTTCTATTGATGACTCTTAAAACTCCAGTGTATGCAGGCTTAGCCTGGAATCCAGGAGTTGCTTGTTTCGTTATTCTAATTTCTGCTTTTGTTTACCGACTTCAGAAGTGAGGCTAAGCCCTCAAGCACTGGAAATTTAAGAGTCGTCGATATATAACATTTTTACCTTGTGCATAATGTTTTCTCATTTCAGACCACATGTCATTCTCTAGAGTATCATTTCTTTAACAGTTACGCATGAGAAGACACAAGAAAATGGATGCAACTCAAACAAAGAATTCTCAAGAGAAAGAAATGTGGTCTGAAATGGGAAAACATTACGCCCATGCTAAAGAGGTCTCAGAGCTGTGAACTCAGGTCGGCACATTAATAGATGATATCAGCATGAACATCTTTATACTCTCCTAAACTAAACTGCCAAGAGTTGAGTTAAGAAGACCAGTTTACCTCTTGTTTAACTTGTCTTTTCTCCCTCAGCATCATTAGATACCAAGGCCCATTCTGGCCATCAACATTCCTTAATCCTGCAGATTTGTCAGACAGGGCTGCTATTAATGCTTCAAGGTCTTCGCCATCCAGCATGCTGTTGATATTATTGATTGACTTCTTCACTGCAATCATTAATGTCACTGTGAGTTAGACTTATTTGGGTTACCTGTGTACACAGGAAGACCAATACTTATGATACTAGACAGGGTATATTTTTTTAGAAATAAGTTTCATACTTATTTCTAAAAAAATATACCCTGTCCCACCTATTAACTACTGTCTAACAAAGAAATAATACTCAGGGGAATGAGGTGTGGTTGAAATGGGGGGGACTTCATATCCAAACTCTTCCTATTTCACTTTGACAATGATGGTGGACACATCGGAACCTCGGTTATTTATATCACTAGTTTTTATCATTAAATCTACAACATAGATACCCAACCTAAATTGGTAAATTGTCCTCTTATAAGTAGGGAAAACACAAATTACACTCATGCATTGATTTTGGGGTTTTTTGTTTTGTTTTTTTTTAATCAGTTTTTGAGCCAAAAAGCCTCTTAAATCCCAAAGGCTTCAAAGAATAAACATAAACCATGAACTCACAGGCTTCTTCAGCCTTCCTCTTTCTGATCGTCTCATTAACTTGATTGATGTTTCCTTGTATTTCTGCTTGAGTTAGATACTTGTCGTAGATGTCTTCCTCTTTGTCACTTCCTGGTGACTAAAATACGAAGGAGAAAAAAAAAAGATCATTATCTTCATGCTTTTAAATTTATTAATTTTGTATGGAATATCCAGGTATTTGTTTTCAAAAAAAATATGAATGTTTAAAAAAAAACAAAAATGAGAATGTCCTGGAAGGTGTTTTCGTTGTTTTTTAGGAAAGTGTCATGAATGAATGTCAGCTTTATTTCTTGAGAAAAATGATAAGAAAACTATTGAATTTAAATTATCAAAATGTAAGATAACTAGTTATTCTATTGTTAAAGATATATTTAAAAAAAGTATCTCATCAAGAAAAATCTTGGCTCAGAGTAATAACTGCTTGCCAGGAAGCTTTAGCTGTGGCTTTTTGGAGTAAGAAAAGGAAGTTGAAATAATGAAACAAACACCTGTTATGTAAAACAGTCAAGTTTATAAGATTAAAAGTCTATAAAAAATGACAAATTAGGCCTTAGGGATCATAACACCGATATAATGCATTTTTACTCAAACCAGGGACAAAACCTGGATGTTATTCTCAAGACAGATTACAGAAATAAATGTACATTTTGTTTGTATGTCAAGGGTGGATTTAGAAGGGTAAATAGGGTGTCATAAATTAGAGTCAAAAAATAAGAATAAAGGACAAGGTAAATCCTAAAAAGGATATGTGATGCCTTTTCTCTAGGTACATTTACTCCCTTCAAATCGTTCTGGATCTGCCGCTGCATGTATATTAAACAGTGTATTCGTGTATAGAAAAGTAGCACATGCAGTAGAACCATGAAAACAAAGTTGATACTGACAAATAGTAGGTATTTAGTGACTAATAGTTGCTATCACTCAACCAGAACATTTATTAAACAAGAGACACAAATGGTCTCTTGTGTATTTGTCTTTGTATGATGAATGTTCTGGTCGAGTGATAACAACTATTAATCACTAAATAGCTACTATTTGTCAGTATCAACTATGTTTTTATTTCATGGTTTTACTTTATGCACTCCAGTAGCCACTGCAGACTAAGTATCAAGTGTTGCAGCAGATCCCTGAGGGGGGTGGGGAGGGGATATTTACTGGTAAACACCATCTAGACCAATAAGCTTGGGTCCCTGTTTTGATCCATTGTTTTGACCTTAAGTCCCTAAATAAGTCCTACCTTTGCAAGGGCCTGCTTGGTTTTAGTACTCTTTGCTTCATACAACAGGTTCTGGTATTCTTCAGTGTTTTCTGAATCAAGGTCAACAAGATGGGCATTGGGATTTTTCATAGCTTCCATGGTACCTGTTGCATCTTGGTGATCAATGGCTTCATTGATGGCAATCACAGCAGCATGTACTGGACAATACAAAAAAAGGCTCTTAATTGCATGAAAGGATGGGTGAGCTAATTAATGAGTTAATACATGGAAGAATGGGACAGACAAAAGATGAACAGATCTATAAATAAGTGTATAGATGAATGGATAAATGAATGGATGGAGGAACAGATCTATAAATAAGTGTATAGATGAATGGATAAATGAATGGATGGACCAACAGATCTATGAATAAGTGTATAGATGAATGGGTAAATGAATGCATGGAGGATAAGGGATAGAACGAAAAATGGATGGGATAAATGAATAAACAGATGCATAAAAAAGTGGATGGATGAATCCAAGGATAAAGGGATGGATGGAGGGGTGAAGGACGAAGGGATAACCAAATGCATGAATGGGTGGAAGGATGAATGGATAAATAAATAGATGGATAAATGGGATAGGATATATAAATGAAGCGAGAGTAGGATGAATGGGATGGATTAATAGAGTGAGGATTTAGAATATCATCTCACTTACATGCAGCCTCATCAACCGGCAGCTATAAGAGAATAAAAATCATTAACATAAAAATCTCTTTGTAATCTTGTGAAAGTTAAGAAGATGTGATAACATCAGTGTATTTATACAGTGTTTAGCAGGCAAGCTTTCAGTATTTGATATCAAACAGTCTTTGAGCACTGAATAAACATTAATTATACGTCCTAATGATTATTAAAGTGCTAGTCTTACGAAAATGACACCAGCACTTTTAATGCATTGCAACCCCAGGCAATTTCAAGGGAACAAGCAGATGGAAAAATAATATTCAATTCTTATAATTTCTGAAAGTTCTGAAATGTCAATGTATAGTCCCAGAAAATATCCATACACCACTCATGGACGAAATTGGGAATTCTGGAGGGGAGGGGGGTCAGAGAATGAACAAAATTACAGAGTTTGTATGGAAGACGATTGGAAGTTCCTGGGGGTAGGGGCTCCTTTTACAAATTTCCTCCGTGGTGGAGGTATGGATATTTACTGGAACTACACAATATAGGATGTTGTGAACTTAATTCTGTCATTTGCATGGTTAAAAATAACGACCAGTCATCGGATAATGTCTGGACAGAATTGAAACTTGTCCGGTCAAATCTATCGACCTTGATAGTGCCTTACATCACATTTTGGTCGATAACATTAAGCTAATAATTAGGTATGACCAAGATAAAACTAATTTGGCCAGTAATCATGGCCAGCGATGACTAGACATTATTTTTAGCCCTGTACACTATACCTCACTCTCAAGGATGCCTCCTATTTTACTGAATGCTGGCAGCTGCAATCCATATTTTTCCAGCTCTTTACGCATAGCACTGATCTGCTCCTCTAAAAACAAGACAATTTGTTTTGATTCAATTATCTATTTAATTGTCTTACATGATGACCTAGTGACTTACACCACAATACAGGACACAATTTATAATAATAATAATAACTTTATTAACGTCTCGAATACTTCTAGCCGGTCACAAGCGCCCTACTAATCAGGGAGACAATTTGTGATGTTTATGCTTAAACGTTTTTCTTGAATACTTTTTACAGTTCAGTTAAGTGACCATGAATAGTAGTTCTAAGTCGAAGTGGGAGTTTCCGAGCATAGCAAAACTATAGTTTATCATACATGTCAACTCCAACTTCAGCTTGGAACTATTATCTGTGGTCACTGAATGGAACTGTAAAATGGAGTATTATAACCATTTTATACCTGTGAACTCAGCCTTTCCATACAAATCTTGAATCTGTGGAGCCAAACCAAGCTTGAATAGGAACAAACTGAAAAATCATGAATGAATAGAAAAATGAATGAGCAATGACCAAGACAACAATAATTGTAATAAATTGAAGGCAGAGTTCTAATAGGTACAGAACGTACAAAACGAGTAAAAAAATAAAAAAAAGACAAAGAGGGAGGGAGGGAG